TGACGCTAGAGGTTATGCGACAAAGTATTAATGCCGTAGTTGTAATATTGATATTATACAAGTTGTTCCGTTGAGAAATTGGAAATCCCGACAGATTAAAGATTTTACAGGTATGATGGTGCTTGGCCACACAAGATGCAAATTCTTTTAAAATATTTCAGAACTTGCTCGCTCATCACATTCGTTGATAGGCATTAACTATAAAAAATCAGGTGAAAAGATGGGCATTTGAGGAAGTTAAGTTTGAAAAAGTAAAAGCGCATAATTCACTGACCGACTTACTTTACTTCACTGCATGAGGTTTAGCCAAGCATTGTTGTTCCCTTGCCAACTGTAGCTCACTTTTATCTTGTAATTTCGACTCTCAAAAGCCCCCTTATGTTACCTGATACACATGTAAAAAGAGCACTACAAATCAATCGCACCTGATCAACCGTATTTCAAATTGACTTCGATGGCTCATAGAACCGGGGCAGTCCTAGTGCTCGTCAAGGTTTTACACTCCACACGCCATAAGAGTCGACGAAAGATTTTTATCGTCTTAGGTAGCTTGTGCTGTGCCTCAATCACCCTAATAGCTATATTTCTGATGGATCATTCAACTCACCTAAAAACTCCATCCTTTGACTGTAATCCGTTCTAGCAGGTTGTGGACATACATCCATTGTGTCTGAACCAAACAGCCCCTTTATTTCCCGGGTTATTAGCTAATACAAATGCGAATCTTCTGCGATCATGCTTATCTAATCTGGTAGAGGGAAGATCCAGCTGCCCCGAAGTATACATTCAAAGCAAAACTTGTGGAGGATCGTTGGTTACGTCTGCAGTGGATGTGATGTTTCAGATTCCGCAACATGCGATGACATACCTGTGGAACTCTTTTATGGTTACTGTGAGGATTTGGCTCGGAACGAAAATGCCAAGTATGCGTCTCAGTTCCAGGTAAATGAATATCCACTTTTTCATTTGATGGAAAGGCTTTCCGCAGACAATGCACGAAATGACCCCGGAATCCTTTAATCTTTTCCGGATCCCGGTTTTCCTTGATGAATTTTTGTCGCTGAGGCAATGAGGCGTTGTTCTCGAGGATGTCGGAATATGTCACGTAGACTCAGCAAAAAGCAAAAGCGGTGCTTTCGTCATGAAACTACCAAAATTAGAGTGATTTCAGCAAATCGAGCAGATGACATCGTGTGATTGCACAGAACCAGACATACTCGAAAAGAACTTGGACAAGAACAGGTAGTACTGAAAACTGAAACCGTCCTTCTCTCCCTGATACTCCTTATGCTTTTGCTCAATCTAGATATCTTAACATCGGCGCTATCGAGGCTTCACGTGTTCGGATTAACTCATCGAGCAATGGTGGCTCGGACTACATCAACGCAAACTACATCGATGTGAGCCCCGTTAACTCTCTTGGGAGTAAGGTGGCGTGCATTCGAAGGCTTAAGTGGAAACCCGTTCCGCTTACCCGGAACCACTTTACACTGGGAGAAGTTTGCCTATCTGGGCTACACAACACAACAAATGACAACTCGACTGAGCCGGTAATTATAGTACACCACCTAGGGTCCGTTCTGAAATTGATTACGGATGGGGATTATCCGGTGGTCTGTCGGCCTAACTCGACGAATGGGGTAATTCATAATAATTATAGTGCTGCTGGCAATACACGACGAATTTGATTAGGTAGAAATGATTGCGATTGCCTGGAAATTACTGCTTAGCTTAACGGGACCGGTTCGAAGGGACGAAAAAGTCTTTCCAAAGCTTTACTTTTTTGTGCTATCGTAGGTGAAGGAGGTAAGGTTCCTTTTAACAGTTTCGACACCCCAGATAGGTTCTCTTACGCGTTGATGTTTCGAAATGGAATATTTAGAGGGTTCACGTGATGCCCTAGACCACATAGACTGGGGAGACTCTCCTTCCACATGGCAACAGATAGGAGTAATGTCATAGCAAGCTTTGGGGATTGTTCTGATGACTGTTAGGAGCGTTCTTCTCGCACCCAATTGAATTTTTTGTGAATGGGTAGAAGGGCAACAATGACCTGTGATCCTGAGACCTCTTCCCGGTCCCGAACTATCTCCCATATCCAATCAAATATCATCGTACCCATAAGAAAAGCTCGAATGCACGCTTTATAAAAAAGGCGACTGACCCTGAGCGCGTGATTCCTCATTCTGTACCGTCTTAGTCATGCGAGAAACGCAATGCCTACATCGCTACCCAAGCACCACTACCATCAACGTTTGCTGACTTCTGGGAGATGATATGGCAAGAGCGATGTAACATCATTGTTGTCATCACCAACATGATCGAGGACGGAAGGGTAAGGAGCCCTGGCCTATCTCGGTTTATCGCAACTGACTGTACCGTTTCAGCGGAAATGCGATCAGTACTGGCCGAGTTCGTCAAGTTCAATTCAAACTCATGGCAACTACCAAATTGGTCTGGTCAACGAAGTGTCGAACACTTACTTTGTTCATAGAATCTTCAGCTTACGAATAGCTAAATGTGTGCCACCAGTAAGTTAATACGGTAATGCCCTATCCTTCACCGTGACATACCGTACCATTCCAGACTGAACGACGAGTTCATCAGTTGCATTTCAAAGGGTGGCCTGACCATGGTGTGCCAGATACAGTATTTCCATTGCTCACTTTCATGAACTACGTGGCTGAAATTCACTCAACGGGCCCGATTGTCGTCCACTGCAGGCAAGGAGTTTCAGAGAAATTCGGTTGTTTCATTCACTTCTACGGTTCACTTACAGCGCTGGCGTCGGTCGCTCGGGTTCCTACATTTTGGTGGACAGCATGCGACGACATTTGATCAGTTTTCGCAAATTAAATCTCATGGGTCATCTAATTCATATGAGGAGACAAAGAGAAAAACTTGTCCAAACCGTGGTAAGTAAGAGATTACTATGATTCATTGTAAACCTCCAGGGAGCCGTTTTCTTATAATCAAAAACTTGACTTATGAATGTTCTTGAATGAACTACCATGGGACCATTAACTCTGAACTAAACTAAACTAAACGCTCTCTTACGATATGCTCCACTAATGGGCTGGAGCCTGATTTACTCTATCTATCGAACAAAAAGCCTTTACGGATTTCAACCCATTGGCGACGGCGCCTTTTTAGCGTGTCTCGCATGTGGAACCGAGCGCGCTTTTTACGGGCTGCTGCTGTGGCCCACTGGCGGGCCACACGGTCCTAGGAACAAGTAAATTTCTTCGCAAGCATTTCCAGCCGACAAAAAAGTATTTTTCAAATGAGACATGTAAAGGTTATAAGTCATACACACTATTTAGAGCTACGTTATGGCATTTAATGTTGATTGTTCAAAGGGGAGTGAAAGTTTTACCAAATCATTTCCAAATGCGACTCTGTCTCGACACGAGGAAGCAGACAAGATGAGAATGACATGTTTCGAATCATCGAATACCTCAGCAAAGTCCCTTTACAACCTTTTTACATAAATTTGGTCACCTTTAGTTTTGCTCTTTTACCAATGCCCTGAGAAGTAACTTTGTTTTCTATTATTACTAAAGTCAGAAGTAAACGTTTCATGGACCACTGCGCGTCAAGATTCCATAGTAGGTGGTAAACCTGCTCGATACTTGAAAGGGT